ATGTGCACGCACATACCTACGCATACATGCGCCTCATGCAAAAACTAAAATTGCGCTACACATGTTACATATCGCCGTGAATGTCAGAGTGAGAGTAATAATTATAGAGCCATTAATCTTGGCACTAAACTATTGAGCGGTAAAAGCTTTTAAAATGTTCCCTATGGGAAATTTGGGGTATTGAAGTGTTTTGCGGCTTCACAGGCGAACGCAATTGTAGGGCTTGACATTTTTGGTATCTATTTACCTGACATGACCCAATCTTTTATATTTTACCAAAATATTGGGTATTATATTCTGTTTCATTTTAGTGTATTTTATCCTCAAAATACTGGTTGGATACATTTGCGCAAATACCGTGCAACATAAAAAATTGCAACTAGCATTTTTTTTTATTCTACAGGGCCTCTGCTTTTAGTAAATATATAATTGTTTGGGGGTCTGAAGCGGTTTTCTAGCCAAAAATTCATATTTGTGTGTGCAAATCGTAAGAAATTGCTCCAGACAGCAAGTGGTTAAGAAGCTTTCAGCAGTGTTATGACAAGCTGCACAAGTGCTAAAATGCTGCTTGATATAAACACTGTCCAAATGTTATACAAAGTAAATAAACTATTTTTCTACATGTTTTTGTATGTACAACAAGTAACAGACACATAACTAGTACATTACAAAAAAATGAGTGCAACAGCTGTGTAGTAAGTTTTGTAGGTATTTATGAGAGATAACCAACCATCTCATTTTGAGGGCTCATCTATCCCCTATCATCAGAGATTATGGTGACGATAAAGTTATATAAAATACTAATAGTAAATACCCAACATACTTACTACACACCTCTGAATCTCTTATATTTTCTTTGTACTCTTTCCTTGTCTTATTAAAATCCCTGTGCAAACTGTTGGCGCTATATAAATCCTGTATAATAATAATAATAATAATAATAATAATAAAAAATAATATTAAAGTTACACTAAACTCAGGAGTAAAACCTTAAAAATGCAATCAAGTATCTTAACTATTAACAAAAATGTATTATTTGTGTTTCACTCAGCTTTAGATCCTCAAATAATCTCTGAATTCCTGCTGACACTGTCCTTAAGGGCTAGTTCACACCAAGCGTGGAGCAGATGCAGAGCAGAGTAGTTACAGAATGGATCAAAACTGCGTCCAGTGTATTCCAATCGTATTTTGGGCATCCAATCGCACTGCGGGCGGAGGGGGGGGCATGGCTGTGGTGCCATTGACATCAATGTACCGTCACGCCCCCTGCAGTCCCAGAATGCAGGGGGGGGAGTTTTGTGAGCGATTGCGGTGCGTTTCAGCAGCTACCGCTCTGGAACACACCGCAATTGATGTGAACAAGCTCTTAACCTCCCTGGTGGTCTGATTATGTCAGTATTTTTTAATGTCAAAGCGGTACATTGTTTTGCATGGAAATTTGTTGTTTTATATTGTAGGCCTGTAATTCTTAGGAATAACTCACTTAAATCTGTCCAAACAAGAGTCTAGTAGACAACCCAGGTATGATAAA